TAAGAAGTCATTTAGCTTCAAACAACTCTGCCATTGCCAAGAATAAGAGTATGTATTTCATTGTGGATCTCTCTCCCCATTTCCCTGCTCTCATTCTAGCTACACTAAAGCATAGGATCCTGCCTTGCTTTTAAACATACCTCAGAGCACACAGTCTTAAAAGTTAAAAGAAGGCTGGGCGCAGTGGCTCACGCCTGTAATCCCAGCACTTTGGGAGGCCAAGGTGGACGAATCATGAGGTCAGGAGATCGAGACCATCCTGGCTAAACACAGTGAAACCCTGTCTCTACTAAAAATACAAAAAATTAGCTGGGTGTGGTGGCAGACACCCGTAGTCCCAGCTACTTGGGAGGCTGAGGCAGAAGCATGGCATGAACCCAGGAGGTGGCGCTTGCAGTGAGCCGACATTGCGCCACTGCACTCCAGCCTGGGTGACAGAGCGAGACTCTGTCCAAAAAAAAAAAAAAGTTAAAAGGAACCTGAGAGGTTAAGAAGAAAAAAAAAGTGGCTCTTACCGAAATTGTTTTACATCACACGCAATTCCTTTTATAAAACCCACAATAAAATTTTTCATTACTCAAAGAATAGGCACATAATTATAGGGACAAATTAACCTTGTTAGATGTGAAGTCTGGGATAGGGAATGGTGGAGGAACAATTTGGCTCTCTCTTTTAACAATGTGGTCTTTAATGTTCAGTTTTTTATCTGCTTTGTGTGTTGATTTCATCCAGAGGTGAGTCATCTGCTGGGCTGTGCTTCCAGGACCTGGCGTAGTGATAGTGGTACATGGACAAATAAACACAGCATGTGTATAAGGTCTCTACACAGACACACGGTTACTATACAAATAGTTTGTCCAATGCAGCACCCTGAACCTTGTGATTACTTTCACCCACGCTATTATCTTTGAAGTAAATCTAAGAAGTAATGAGCCACTTTTTCCTGATTCTGCTCCAAGATTTCCTCCTTGTGAATTTGGGTCTCCACTATTTTGGCCCCAAAGATATCCAGGCAGAGTAACTTTGATGAACCAGTTGAGTCTCCAGGAGGTTGAAAAACCTACAATAAGTCCATAAAATGTCCCAGTTTACTTTCTGGAGTGCCTAGAGTATCTGACATGAAATCATTGGTTTCTACCATCCCAAAATACAAAATAGCACTTTCTAAAATCATCGTGCCTAATGAAACATACACATTCTTACTTTGCAAACTGCAAATGGCTAAGAATCAAATCCACTTCCATTAAAAAAAAACAAAAAAAACAGCAGCCAATCTCATCTCTCCTAGCCACACCTTCCATTAACAAAAGCCACCAGCAGGAAAGTTAGTGCCAGTGAAAGAGATGGTCATGTAACCTGCATCCTGTGAGTTGCTATTTATTAGCAGGGGTTGATGCCAGGTGACAGAGCCCTGTGGGTCAGAACTCCTGAGCCATATTTTTCCAGTGGTCAGCATAATGGCAGGGAGGAAATAGGGTGATAAACCAGATGTTCCCAAGATAAGCCAGATGTTATCAAGCCGAGAAGTCTCAAACAACAGTGCTTAAATGAGTTGTGTAGATGAACACACACACACACACACACACACACACACACACACACAAAATCAAACAGCACTATTTAGTCTCCCTGCAAGATAAGCCGACAGGAGAGGCTGAAAATAAAGCAGCACACAGGCTGGGTCAGATTGTTGCTTCCTGATTTGTGACTCTCCAAGATGAACATCTAACTGATTTATACCCAGAATTTGGAATTTTGTGGTAGACTACAAATGCAAAGATAAGTACAACATAAATTTTTAAAATACTCCATAAGTCTCCATGAGTTTCAACATTCTTCAATGTTCTTATGTTACAGCCAATTATCTCTCCACTTAAATGGCTATTATTTTCTTACTTGAAGTCTATGTTCTCTATAAGTGTCATTACCAAGTGTGGCAAAAATCCGGCTGTGGGCCGTAAATTTAATTTAAATGACAAACATTTATTGATTGCAAATGGGAAATTCCAGAAATCTTATAAAAGTGATTATTGTAAATTAATTCAGTCCTCCCACATAACAAAAAAGAATTTATTCTTCCAATGATTAAATTAAGGTGGGGTTGTGTATACGTGCATTCTTTTTTTCTTGTCTATTTGTTTTGTTAAAATTCCAAGAGGTTTGCCATTCATAGAAAAGTCTATCTGACTACAGGCACAGTCAGAAGCAGGAATTCATTACCATGGAAGGCTGCAGAATTTCCTCCAAGGAGACAAGTGAAAAAAAGCAGACACCACGTAAATTTGCGGATTGGGTTAAATATGTTCTGTCCCTGAGGCAGTGGAAAGATAGAGAGCCCCTTTGTAAAATGACTCACGAATCTAAGAAAGTACTTCAGCTCCTAAAGGTGAGCAGAAACTTAACCAGGAACGATATCCATGAGGTTCTGCTTCTCTTTGGAATATCTTTGAGTTTAGCATTCCTTACCACCTCTCTCTCTATCCTAACTCAGAGTTATCAGGGCTGATGGAATTTTCCTTCAAGGTACTTTGAATCTGTTCCCTGAATGCCACCCCCTCTGCTATCACCTTGTCCCTTCCCTGTACCTGTATCACATTGGGTTTGGAATGCAGCAGGGCCTGCTGTCTGATTTTCCTTATTTCCTACTTGCCTACACCTCTTACGACTGTCAGCATTACCACTCTTAAATACCACCTCCATTATGTTGATCTACTAAAAATCTTCAATGACATCCTACTTTCTAAACAGACTCTAAAGATTTCCCACTGGGTTCTCACGACCCACCGGAATTTTGTACCTACCTTACATCCAAACTTACTCCCACTACTGCTGTGTTCCCATTAATATGTATTTTACTTTGAGTAAACCAAGCTCCTCACTTCCACATCCCCTCTATGAAAACGCTTGGCTCTTCTTCTCTTACAAGGCTTTGTGAATTTATTCTTGCTGTTTATTTCCTCAGCTAGAAATACACTTACATACACACACATATATATGCATGCATATATGCATATACGAGCTTGCAATGTTTGCAAATTGCAAATATATATAAAATCCTATGTAGGTGCATATACATATTATACATATACATGAATATACAGTCTTACATTGTTTTCCAGTTGCTAAGAAATAAAAACACATGCATATACTTGTATATTTGTATACACAGTCTTGCATGATTTCTTAATTGTTTTACATTTGTTCATTTTGCCTCCCAAACTAGATTTAAAGTACTTTAGGACACAGGCCTTCTTTTGTGCTTTGTATATAATCTTCATATTACCTAACACAGTTCATTCCATCAATAAACACATGAAGATTGACTCATTCATTATGCTACAAGTATTTATTGAGTTCTTACTTTCTGCCATTTTCTAAGAAAATATCTAGAAAAATGTCGGTGAACAAGACAGGCAGATTCCCTGCTCCCCAAATGCTCAATGGTCTGTTGAACTGCTGATATTTGTTATTTTTAACTTTTTGATAGGTACATAATATATGTCAATTTTTGCAAAATGTAGAATATAAGTGAAGCCAAATGAAGAAATGTAAAGTATCTATATTTCCATTAGAATAATCAAGTAGTCTTGAAAACTTCCACATTCATTTCCTTGTGGCATATAACAGGATAACTTACACACAAATACAAAACCACCACTCACCCATTTCTGCTACAAAGTTCACAGTTTCAAGCTTCCTGAGAGTTCCAGCAACCACCAAACATGAATGCTGGCTACAGCTGTGAGAGTCCTTCTCTCCCCATCAGCAAAGGCAGACCTCAGAATGTATTACAAGTAATGACCTAGAGACGACTGCATTCTCACTTGCCATCGTTCTAACGAACCCCAAGTAGCTTCATTCAGAAGTAAAGACGAATGAATGAAAGATGCCCATTCAGTTGTATCACAGAGGCATTAAAGCAGGTATTAAAATAAACCAGGGACAAGGTTGCCCACAGTGACCCAGAAAGGCCAATATGCTATTTAAACTAACCCCACGCCATCCATCTTTACACACTGCTGTGCTGTAAAAGTAGTCCTTTATTCTCCTCCTTCAAACAATGCACAAAGGCAACAGACGGAAGGAAGTTATGTTGCAATATTCTGAAACATAAATCTTGCTACCAGCCAGTCCAGGGACGCATCCTGTTTTCCTTACACATGGATCAGATTCACTGGAGGCTGTTACCTCTAAGCCTTTTGCCTTGTTTTTTAAAGTGGCTTCTGAATCGTACCTGGTCCCCTGCATTTACACATCCAAACACAGGTTGCGTAAGCAGAGATCATTGTTTGTGTGTCTAGTTACTCAACCAACATATGCCATTGCATGTTGCTACCCCCTCTGCTACCACCTGGAATTATCTTTCTCAAATTGTGACATTCCGCTTCATTCTTTACCATTATTTTGTGATGTTAAATAAAAATTAAACTTAGATTCAAACATATGGAAGAAACAAAAAGAAGAGATACATAATTTACTCTCAACATTTTTTTTTTTTTGAGATGGAGTCTCGCTCTGTCGCCCAGGCTGGAGTGCCGTGGCCAGATCTCAGCTCACTGCAAGCTCCGCCTCCCGGGTTCAGGCCATTCTCCTGCCTCAGCCTCCCGAGTAGCTGGGACTATACTCTCAAGATTTTAAGACTCTGCCACTCTATTATATAGCCCTAAATCCCACTTTCTGCTATGATGAGAATTCAGAGAGCCGATGGCCAGTTTCCAGTGGTGTCATTGATGTGCTACTTGAGTCACGGAAAAGCATTTAACTACTCAGTGCCTGATTTTATTCTGGGAATCCAAAGTAGATAATGCTTGTTATTGTGAGATCAGAGACAGCAGAACCCGTGACTGTTTAACTTGCTCAAGTACAAGGCCTTCTCAAATGTGATGAGGCAGGACTTTGCAAATTGAAAGAAGGTGAGTGCAGGTGAAAAGTCCACTGTGAGTGGCTGGCCCTGGGAAGGCACTTCCCTGAAATGCTGCTTGGGTAGAAGCAACACAAACCTGCGGCCATGAAAGAGTTATCTGGTTTCATACGAATCTTCTTCACAGGGAAGACCCAATTTTAGAACGTCACCTCTGCTCCAAACACACTTTCCTTTCGCAGTATAGAAAAGATTCCTGAGTTTAACACTAGAGGGCAAAGAGTGGAGGCGTCCTCACGCCAGGCAAATGCTCCTGAAGCTGCTGCTGTTGGTAACGGCATTGCCACATATGACCTTACCCTTTGCCTAGATAAAGAATGGGCTTTATGACATCAGAGAACACTGTTATGGGAACTTACCTAAACAGTCACTTTTGCCCTCTGACACTAAGAGAATACCTGACATATTAGTCCTGGAGCCCCAGGCATCCCAATACCGTTATATGACTTCTCATTCTTTATATCCAGTACCTTACTACGTCTTCTTTCAGAAATCTGACCAATTAATCATTAGTAATTTATAAAGGGGAAGTTTGTGACTTTATTTAAAAGCAGGGTTTTTCAACCTCAGTGCTTTTTTCATTGGAGGCTGAATCATTTTTTGTGGTGGGAGCTGTCCTACATGCTGTAGGATTGTTTAGTAGCATCCCTTGACTCTAGTCTCTACTCAGTAAACGCTCGTAGCATCCCCTTGTCCCCAGTGGTAACAACCAAACATGCCCCCAGACATTGTCGAATGTCCCCTGAATTGGGGTGTGGGGTGGGGACCAAAATTGCCTTTGGTTGAGAATCATTGGTTTAAAATGACCTAATGAGAGTCTAAATTACATGAACCTTCTGTTTTAGAGTGCTGAAAATAATTTTATGAGCGTAGAATATGATACAGGGAGACAAAAAGGGTGGTATGGCATATGTTAAGCACCTACATGTAGATAATTAACTAGATGCTGAACCAAGACTCCTGAAGGTATAAATGTGAAGTATCTCTCACAAATACCACAACACAAAATACAGGGACATACAGGTTATGGAGAACGTTGTATTTTTTTTAAAGTAGCCCTCCAGAGAGGCATTGACTCCTATGCCATCTCCCCCTCCCTCTAAGTTATTCTCTAGCCTCTACAAAATGCATGGCATTCATCTGATATGGAATAGCTGATTTTTAGATAAGAGGTCTATGGAGATGGACATTTTTTAAGGCACTGTTTATTTAATGCAGCATGACTTAGAATGGGCCTGTAACCTGACAAGTGTACTGAGTGAGGAATGTTCAATTTACCAGTTCTAACTGGCCAAGTCCTCACATGAACTTTCTAAGACCCGGCTGAGAAGCCTGGGAAAGTAGAACTAACCACAACCTTCAGTGTTTCCTCTACCTTGTTCTGTCTCCCCAGTCCAAACTCTACTACCTTAAGCATTCTTCTAAAACCCACTTAATCCCCAGAGGTATTACAAAATCTCAACCGTCGGCAGAACCTACAGCCGTCTCAGCTCACTAGCTAACTGTACCTCCATGCCAACCACCACTGAAAGGAAAGATTCTGTTCTATTTTTAAATATATTGAGCAAAGAAGCAGCTTGATATGCCTTTGTAAAGGATGGCTGTCACCCAAATTCATGGGTTCTCTATTTTTAATCAAGGATATAAACTTTGAAGTCCGATAAATTTGGGGTTCAAATCCCAGGTCTTTATTGTCAGCTGTGTGATTTGGGGAAAATCAAATAACCTCTCTGAATTTCAGTGTCTGCATATGTAAAACAGGAATGATAATAATAGGACCTAACAATAGGTTGTTTTCAAGGATACATGAGATGACATATATTAAGCATGAGTATACCAAAATGTTGGCCATTATTGTCATTACTATTATTGTTATCAACATTAATATATTCATCATTCACTCATGATTCAACAAACATTTATTCAGCATGTATTGCATGCTGGGTTCCAGAAAAACTCAATTAATATTTTAAACTTGGCTTTCTTAAGACTCGGATTTCAACCAAATAACACGGCAGTATAAGAAATGTCTTTGCGGGTGAATAAGAAAAGTCCAGCACATACTAGGTGCTCAGAAAACATTAGATAATGATGATGATGATGGCACTGGCAGTTGTGATAAAGAAAACCAGTGAATTTGTCAATCTTCATTTAATTCACTTGCCAGAGTACTCACTAAATGTTTGTTCCTATAAAAAGTCATGTATTTTCAAGTAAATGAGTACTGATCTTGTGGGAAAGAATTTCTTTTCTCAAAGTAACACTTTAATAGGAATAGATTAACATTCTTTATTATAGGGTAGGCTTATAATAAGAGTCCGGAGTCACGGAGGTAATTCTCGCTACTGAAAAGTAAATGAATTTTGACTGATTTATAAGTATACAGTAGATTAGTTAGGTTTAGAAATTCCCATTATATAAAGAAATTAGAGATATGAACCAAAAATATGATTAATAATAATAATCAAAAGAGCTCACCTAATTAGTAAAGCAAATAAAGGTAGACATCTACCCCCTTGGTTAAAAAGAAAGGCCTTCTTATTTATTAATTTATATGAGGTACCATTTATTGCTCATTCTTTCTGTGGGAAATAGACAGGAATAAACAGGTTTAGACTTTTGTTCTTCTTTGTCACTAACCTTTCACAACCCTTTAGTATTTCAACATAGTTTAACTCACTCACAGTTGTTGATTCTTAGTCCCTTCAATCTTTAAAAAAATACAAATACAAATAAACCATTTGTTTTCCAAACACTGTTTTTCCATCAATTAGAAAGTATGTAACTGTGATGAAAAGTCTTTTGATGATAGCAAAGTAAGTACCCATTATATGTTCAGGCCTGTTACCATGTTAGTCTCGCCCAAGCCAAAGTCAATGAAAAATTAATTTTTCCAAAGGATGTCCTTACCTCAAATATGTTTGAAGGCTCATTGTTGTACTGATTGGATATTATTTCTGATTGGTCACTGCACCACTTGAGTCCACCCAAAAAGCTGTCTGTATCCAAGTCGTTCACATCTAGTTCAGAAAGATCAAGTTCAGGAAGATCTGGACAAAGAGGCTGGTCTTCACCAACCAGAGCAGCACACTGCAGGAGGCAGAAAAAAAAAAATAAAAAAATTTTTAAAAAGCTTCCATTAACCACAGGAATTTATTAAACTGCAATAGCATGTGATAGGAATTAAGCCTAGTTAATTCAACGACATTACCAAAGCTAGTTTCTGGCACTTGAGTCACCAGGAAAAACACCTAAAATCTTTACTCACTTAGCTCCTGAAGGATAATTTTCCTGCTTTATTCCATCCAAAATTCTACCTCCAAATACATGGTAAATACCATGCTCCATGAAGCTTTCTCTGATTCTTCCAGTTAGAAATCAACTAGAAATTTTTGTACCTCTTTGTACAAAATCCTTGGTACCTGTTTGCTAGTTACTGCTTCCAAAGTTTTAAACTGTCTTATGGTTAACCATAAGACAAACTTGATTTTACCTTGGAAAGTTTATCACACATAATAGACACTCAATAAACTATTGCTAAATGGAAAAAGAACAAAGGAACTACACAAGGAAAAATTGTCTCCATTTACACTCCTTTTAAGCATTATAATCCATATAATTCATTTAGCAACTAATGATGCAAAGTCCTTTGACTCATCTGTGATTCTCCTGAATTGTTTTTAATTAAATCATTTACTCTTATTTGACTCTTCATGACTTTCTGGACTTCATTCTTAAAGGCAAAAGCAAGTTCCTTAAGATGAAGGACAAAAATCATAATTTTTTTTCTATATGGCTTTTGTATGTAACTTGCAAGGGGTGCGTGTGTGTGTGTGTGTGTGTGCGCGCACGTGTGTATGTGTGTGTGTATGGTTGGCATCACCTAGTACCCGGAAAAGAAAACTCACAAGAGCATACCATCAGTGTATTTTGTTCATTATTTATGCATATCTAAACTGTGCTTTACGTGAATTCAAAATAACTATTTCTGTTTAGAGTTTCAAAATAATTTCTATATATTGAGAGGCTTAACATATCTTCTACCATGGCTGGGCTGCTTGTCACCAAGATTATTTTAGATTGTCAAAGTATTTCATCCCCTTACATGAACTAGACAGTCTTTTCAACTGTTTTACCATGGGGCTTTTGGAGGCAGGCGGACTCCCCTTACCGATAAGGTGGTCTCCTAAACTTGAATTGGCTACCTAACTGCTAATGTCAGTCCGCAGGCAGCTGGAATCCATCATTCTTAGCAAACTATCACAAGAACAGAAAACCAAACACCGCATGTTCTCACTCATAGGTGGGAACTGAACAATGAGATCACTCGGACTCAGGAAGGGGAACATCACACACCGGGGCCTATCATGGGGAGGGGGGAGGGGGGAGGGATTGCATTGGGAGTTATACCTGATGTAAATGACGAGTTGATGGGTGTAGCACAGCAACATGGCACAAGTATACATATGTAACAAACCTGCACGTTATGCACATGTACCCTAAAACTTAAAGTATAATAATAATAAATTAATTAAAAAAAATTTTAAAAAAAAATAAACATCCATCTGCAATAAGAATTCTACTTAAAAAAAATAAAAAAAAATAAAAAAAAAAAGAACACTGCAGGAACTCCTATCGCAGGGGTCTGGCATTGCCAGAACAGTCAGAACTTTATCCACCTGTGAGTAGTGGTGTCTCAATCAGGAGGCACACACTGACGCAGCACCCTCGTGGCCCTGCCTTCCAAGGTCGGGAGAGATGCTGTGGAATTGTTCACATCCAGGCAGCAGTTAGGCATGAAATGAAAGATGCACCTTGACATTTACATTTTGAATGAAGTAAGTTTTATGCAGATTTTCTTTCTCAAGCACCCCTGTTATCCCTGGCAGGGATTCCTAGCAGGCCACATTACACAGGTCATATGCAGCAGCGTGATCAAAAGCAACATGCTGAGAAGTAAGTACCGGGTAATGGAGTCAGCAGTTGGTAAGGGGAGGATGGGGGGAGACTGAAAATCATTGCCATCCTTTTCTAAGACCACTGGGCCCCAGTGAGATCCCTGGCAGCAGGCACAAAGGAATGCAAAGAAAGGGCCGTCCTCGCCATCAGAACTCTTTCCTTATCATTTTATTGGTCTTTCCTTTTATTATCTGAGTTAGCCCAAACTTACAGCTCGGTATACTTGACAAGGCATATAAGTAAGTGGAGGCTGGGCTGAAGAGGTCTCATTCTGGCATAATGCTCGTATTTGGTTGTGGGTGTAACACTTTCCAGACTCCATTCTTGCCCATACAGCTGATCCTCCAAGCCCAAACACACTATCTTAACTTTTCCTCAATGTCACCAATTCAGAGATAGGGGGAGAACTTTTTCAATGGTGCTAGATACACTAGGATGTTATGGGGCATAGTCTTTTAAAAAACATGAACAACAAAGATAGGAACACAAAACTAAAAATAGTCAAGAAAATATAGGCTTTCCACATACGGCTTAAGTTCCTGTTGTGAAACTTAGGAACCAACCATGTTTTGGAAGGCTAAAGTGGCATACTGATTTGTGGACAACTTTTTGTTATCCCTCTCTTTAACTGCCCTCTTTGGCATGACTTGTTCAAAACCCTTTAACCTTCCATAAATAGGTATTTTGAAATAACTTTTGAAAACCATGGAACAGGCCAGGTCAATTTGTTATATTGGTGCTATCTTGTCATTTACATATTCCTTTCCTTCCTCTCACTTGCTCTCTCTTGCTCTCTCTGTCTGTCTCTCTCTCTCTCTCATTTTGCTTTTACGTTATGGTTGAGAAAAGTGCATGTGCTCTTGCCGATGTTGACATGCTAATAAAATCTGTGCTTCTGAATGTGGCATTATCCTGCTAATCTAAAACACATTAGTGGTAGCAAGTGTTCCTGTTATTAATTTATATTTGGCCTTTGGACGATGCCAGACTTAACAGTCCAAGCCCTGTAACTGTCCTCATCTGACATGCTGATATTTACTGTTTCCCTATACATCTGTAACAGGTGTGCTTTATTGCAATGACACCGACACATTCTGCTGCCTCTTTGCAACTATGACAGCTATTTCACAACTGTAGCCTCAATTTTATAACAAGATTTAAGAGGATAAAGCAGTCACTAAACACAAAAGGCTAATTATTGTCTGTTATTTCACCCCAACAGACTTTTCTCTTAGTTAAGGAGCAGACAATAAATTAGCTTAACTGCATTGATGATAATGAATCATTATAATCAAGTATAATTCTCCATTAACCTTTTAGAGGTTTTTTGTGCCATTGATGGTAAATTTTAAAGAGAGAGAGAAGAAGGAGTGGATTTGGTCACATTAATTATATTAATGAAAAAAGAAACTTGGTCCTTAAAAAAATTAGTCAAGATAGGGGAAAGGGGTGGAGAGAGGGGCAGTAAAAAATGACAGACTTAGTAGGGTGTATGTCATTTGAATTGTCTCTATCAATCTTAGTAACCTTATTGTACATCACCTTCATTAAACTGTGAAACACGGGGCACTCCAAGTAGCTATAGTGATATAGGCCTTTATTAACCAATGTACTAGCCTGTCATTATGTGCAAAAGGGCATAATACGTTTTAGGATGACAGCAAACATTAATGATTCAAAAAATGAAAACTGCCTACGCTACCTGCTGCTCGTAATATTTTAGACTGGCGAAGGTGATTCCCAGAGCCGCTGCCCTGTAGGCAAAGCTTCTAGCATCTAGCTGCCTATAGTGTAACAGAGAAGTGACTGGCCAATCTCAGCCGACTGGCGACTCCATCCATGGCTGGACAAGTAGCCAAGACCTTTCCTCCTTAAGAAAAAAATTTAAAGGCCACAGTTTTAAATGCTTCTGATGCTGATTTGAAAATGACTGCAGGAATTCCAGTGATTAAAATAAATCTCCCTTATTTCCACATGCTGTAGTTCCTCAATCAACTCCTAACAGCATCAAGAATAATACATGATGGAAAAATGAAACTACAGCAGCTGAGACCCACAGTGCCAGCCGGACAACCACCCACAGGACACTCCAGCTACTCAAAGACAATTAGGACTTTGAAGCCACTTATAACCCTGACTCATAATGGCTACAGGGCATATGAATGATCCATATCTATTCCACCTTACCAAGAAATCAGAACAAGATAACAATTACAATCCACAAATACGATCTACCAAGGCAAGGGAGGGCAAATGGAGCCAACATTTGCAAACCCAGCAAAGAGTTAAGAATCCCAGGCATGCCTCGCTAGATAGGAAAAAAGCATTCACAGACGGCCTTGGCCAAATTATGTTCACTTTAGATGTGTATCGCTGCCTCACATGGACATCTTATTTAATCAAATCACGTGTGGGCTTGATCCTCCCCCTTACCCTACGTGCCCCCAGCTACCCAGAGGAAACACGCGCAGTCTTTTGCCAGATTCATTGTTAGCAGCTGGGATCCTCCATGCAATTCAATTCGAGTCCATCTCACCAGAGTCCACAGAAAGTTTCGCTTGTTTCCCAAGTTGCCCAAACTTTCCTTCCGAGAACATTCCATTGTGCTGAATGCAAACACGCCGAGGTCCTCCGTCCCCCCACTAGACTCCAGAGATTACGAGGAAACTGCTTGCGTTATTCTCCCCCCTGTATGAATTGTAGCCAGCAGAGACTGTGGAATTGATGTATTGCTGTCTATTTTTACACAAGCAGCGAGCAGCTCCACACACAGTCCTGCATAAACTCTATTCTCTCTCGGCTTCAGGCAGCTCTCCGTGGTACAGGAAGATTTAACCATTG